CATTTGTTTTGATGTAAAGGAAGTTTCTTGCTTGGTTCATTTTTAATCTTTAACTTTGTTCCCCCTTCGCTGATATATGTGCTTTAGTTCCCCTAGTTATTACTGTATTGTAAGTCTACATTATTTAATCAATCTTAGCACAAATCTTCGAATAAAACAATTCAAGTTATTCTAACAAAAAACAATAAAAAAGGCTGGCAAAAGTTTTAGCTAAGTAAAGGACCGACTACATAAAGCAATTTCAGCCCGGGCTAAGTTTCAGCCCAGGCCCGTTATAGTATCCTGTCAAAATAGTGTACGCGATTACATGAGAACAATTCTATGTAATGTGCCAGATGCATCGTTAGATCCGTTACTGGTATCTAGCACGTTGTAGTTGCAGATTATAGCAAGTTCTTCTTTTAAGTCGATGACCCTTTTTTCCCTAGGTTCCTTCTCGGTCAATTTCTTGCAAAATTGACTGCACAGCATGTTTAGGAACTTATGTGGGTACACTTATGTTTAACTGAAGATGAATCAACAAGATGAATCAAAATTTTGACAAGTCACAGAATTTCAGTTATTCATATCATAAATGCGGAGATTTTAATTTTATTTAACATGGCTTTTATCAAGAAGAATTTTTTCCTCGTTCATAAAGTCATCTATCTATTTATCTATTGCTAACACAGATGATGACATAAAAACGTTTTGCTAGGTATGTCTTTAGAAATTGCGCCTACTTGGAGTGAAAAGGTCATTTCCTCACGTGATAGTACACGTGATTTTTTCCGGTCTATAATTGTTCAATTTGTTGTAAGATAGACTTATTAAAATATTTGTTTGCGTCAAAAGTTCACAAAACGACAAAACTTTGCACGATGAACTGTCAAGTAAAAACGCTATCAATTTTGAAGTATCTATGATTACTGAGATGTGACAAAGTTAATCAAAATTATAGACTTCGAGATTAATTACTCTTAAATTCAATTTTTAAATAAAGATTGCCCCTAAAATTTTGAGCTCCCAACATTTACTTATTTCTCTCGCCCCTAATTAGATTATTTGTTTATCTGCATCAAAAGTTTACAAAATGACAAAACTTCATTGAGCACGTTTCAAAGTTGGAACGCTGACAATTTCAAAGAAGCAGTATTTATCGATTTATCGGTGTATACCCATTCCTCTCCCCATCTTAAAACGGTCGCTTTGGATTTTCTTGGCACTCTGCATTAATGTGTCATCGTAAGCAACAATGATAATATCATCTACCCATACTATTAGAATAGGAACATCATTTCCTTTAAATCGCGTGTAAATGCATGGGTCGACTAATGATTTTTCGAAAGTTTTCCCTATTAATTGTTCATGCAATACGTTATTCCAATTCCTACCACTTTGTTTTAATCCATACAAAGACTTTTTCAACCTGTACACTAATTTTTCACCATTTTTATCTACTTCCTCAAATCCTTCGGTTTGATGCAAATAAATTTCGCAGTCTATTGGGGCGTTAAGATAAGCTGTTTTTACATCCATCTGATGCAATAACATGCTGTTTTAAACAGCGTGTTGAAGCAATACACGAATAGAACTCATGCATGCAGTTGGCGAAAAGGTTTCGTTGTAGTCAATACCAGGAGTCTGCGAGTATCATTTTGGCTACATAACGGGCTTTATGGGTCTCTTCTTCATGTTACCCTACTTTTACGGTGTATACCCATTTTCCCCCCTATGTCTTTATTTGTTGGGGGTGGAACAAGTTCAAACGTATCATTGTCAATTAACGCTTTCATTTCATCATTCATGGCTTTTTGCCATTTTACTTTTTCATTGGAGCTTATTGCTTGGGAATATGTCGTTAGGATGTTGGATACTCTATAGCAATAATCTTTAGTATATGAGACAGTATCCTCCCCTGAAACTTCTTCTGTCATATACTTGTCAAGATATTTACTCTTACTTCTTATCCTAGTGGGGTATCTTGATTCTATAGATGTCTCTGGAGCACTAATCTTTTCGTTAGTTGTTTTGGGGTTTCTTTCATGCAATTTTGCTATCTGAGGTTCAAGTTCTTCATCATCTAGTTCTGGCAGTTCCTGCTACCCACCCTGAAGAACTTAACGCATCTTACACGCTCTACCTTGTTAATGTCAGTGTAGTATAGTAGATATGCTGGACTATTTTTATCATACCCTACGAAATTACCTTGTCTACTTCTAGGGTCTAAGTTTTTGGAATTTTGTGAATAACCATAACAAACACAACCAAAAACGTGCATTTTGCTCAAGTCTGGTTGTGAGTCTGTAAACGCTTCGAACGGAGTTTTGTTCAACCTCGAATTAAAACAACAATTCCTAATATAAGCAGATGCCATGACGGCACATGTTCACATGGATTTTTGTAGTTCTGCTTCTAGCAATAGACACCTAGCCATGTTAAATAAAGTTAACCACGATCTCTCAAATGTGCCGTTCTAGTGTGGCGAATATGGTGCACTAGTTTCATGCCTAATTTTGTTTTCTCTAAGAAGCGATTTGAATTTCTCGCTTGTAATTTCAGTGCCGTTATCACTTCTTATGCGCTTCACATTTCCGTAAAGTGCAACATCTGCTAAAAACTGTTTTAATGCTTGTGGTGTATCGCTTTTATGCTTAAGAAAATAGACTATATTCAATCCTGAATAATCATCCACAAACGACAATGCATATCTAAACTCTTCTCTTCCTTCCGGATCAATGGGACCTGCAAGATCCGTGTGAATAAACTCAAGAGGACCCCTTGACTTTTTATCTTCCAGCTTACTTTTCGTCTGACACATTTTACCTTGCGTACAAACCTCACACTCAACTTCCCTCAAGTCTATGATTTTCATCCCCTTAACCACCTTCTCTAGTTTCCTAACATCCTTGTAGTTACATTGACCTAGAACCTTGAGCCACTCGTAAAGAGAACATGCATTTTTATTCGATGATGATATGCTATTTATATAGTAAAGCTTGCCTTCTTGTCTTAATCCAAACGTTGTGCCATCATGCAGGGCACTGTACATGCTTATCGTGTTTGTCTAATTTGACTTTTGCCCCCTTTTCTACGGCAGCGCTTACTGAGAATATATTTTGATCGTAAGATGGGACATATAAGGCATTATTTAATAAGACATCCTGCGCATTTCCATGCAAGTCAACTAATTTGACTTTAGCAGTACCTTTACCGACTACTACGTTGGCTTTACTGCCATCTGCTAATTCAATAACATGTGCTTTACCATCAAATTTATCTATAAATTTATCTATAAATTTTGACTTATTGTTAATAATGCGGCTTGTAGCTCCTGTGTCCACCAGTAGAGTTAAATTCGCTTGATCCTTATCCTTCACGTCTGCTTCAGCGTTCTCCTCTTCATCCTTTGACACGAACAAAAAGGAGTGTTGCCCTTCACTGTCATAGCGTTGCTCGTCTTTAGCTGACTTGGACGTTTCTTTGTCTTTCGGCAATCTTTCGTGTCGTGGGTCTTGGTCTTGCATATGGAGAACCATTTGTTCCCCTACACTCGGCATTGTGAGCTTTTGTGTCCCTTTCCTCCACATTTGAAACAATTTCCATCAAATTTTGGTTTCACATACATAACGTTGTCACCTACCTCAGATTTTGGTGACAATGGTTTGATATTTTCTTCATGACTTCGTAACGAGTTTTTAAATTCCGTAAATGTCATTTGTCTTTCCCTTTGAACTGTTACGGTAGCAAAGACGTCGTACGTGCTTGGCAGGCCCTTTAAAACCATTGCAATGTGTAGTGCATCACTTATTATCTCCTCGGCTTTTCTTAAGACTGTTGCTGATCGTTCCACTCGCAATATATAATCTGTGACAGTCTCGTCGTCATTTTTCTTCAGCGATGTGAGTTCCGTGTAAAGAGCGACGATGCAAGGTTTTCCTCTGCCTTGATAGTGATGTCTGAGGATTTCTAAAGCTCTCCGTCCATTGTCTTTCGCCTCCCGAATCACAAGAGACAAACTTTGCAAAAGCGTGAGTCAGTTAGAGAACTTTGTGTGTCAGTTAGACAAATTGTTAAACACCTTCCTAAGTGATAATATAACTCAGTACCTCCATTTTCATTCTAACATGCAGTGGCGTCGCTAAAGTGGGGTCTGGGAAGGGAGAACGTGCCCCTCTAAAAATTGGCTGTTCTCACTAAGTTCCCCTCGTTTGAATTTTAGAAAAGAGTCTTCATATGCATCATTTGAAATTGAAACAGAAGCACTTGGCATTAATGTAGCTCTTACGAATTCACACAATTTTATTGTAAAAGGAAATATTCTATTAGATGTATAGACTAGTTTGCGTTGTATTTACCCTTTCTGGGTTGTTAGCCGAGTGGTAAAGATTTTAATTCCTTAAAAATGAAAAAAACAAAACAATACTTCTAGACTAGTTCAAGTCTCTAGTGGGCAAGGAAGAACAAGTAATATTGTGATGCATGTCATGAACAACATTACATTATATAATAGAACTTGTATGAGATCGTGGACACAAAAATACAAATATAGCAATGACTAAGAGTAAGGCTCAAGAAAATACTGCAATTCTGGAAGTATTATAATATGAAAACATTTCATTAAAATCAATAATCAATCTACGTAACGTTATAACACGAAGAATGTACAAATCCTCCAAGGTTTAACTGGGAAGTTAAAAAATTGAAACTATTCATGTTGTGACAAATATTTAACAAATTTCCAAGTGTAGAAGCAATTTTTAGGGCCATTTAGCTAGCGACTGACGTGGTACAAATTTTGTGCCTTTCCACTCGCAAAATCCTGGCGACGCCACTACCAAAATGTAGCCAAATGCCTAAGTGCAGGAAAACTAAAATGTCCAATTGCGTTGTTTTTAGCTGCCATCCTCGATATTTATATACACGTACAAGTAAAACTGTAACATTACGTAGCTATGTTTGATATAAACTCTAATTCAAGAACCAATTTACGATAATATTAATAATTTTATGACTCTTAGATGCAGTCAAGAGAAGAAATTAATAACTCCTACCTGCAGAAAGTACTTACAGATGTTGAAAAGAAACTTGTTGATCTTTTTATCCAAGAGTGGAACACGCATTACAAAGAATCTCTTGGAGAATGGGAAAATATAAACGTTAGTGGTCAGAAATTGTTCAACATTGAAATTTCAAAAAAGAAACCTCCTGAAAAACATATTCTGTCAAATTTTCAAAATGGTGACACTAATAAGTGGGATTGTACGACGTTATTCGCAGCGATATTATATTCCAAATCAATTGGAACAAAAATTGGTCCAAAAGTTAGAGCTGCTGTGGACAAACTTCGTGATGTTAGAAACAAGTTCATTCATGAAAATAAAGGAAAAGTTTCTGATGACAAATTTAAAACAATGCTTTGTACTATTGAAAACTCGTTTCGAGATCTAGGATTTTCATTTAATGAAATTAATAAAATAAAAAGTCAACGAAACAGATTTAGTTCTTTTCAAGTACTTCCTTGCAAACCAAATCACGATGTGGTTAAACGTACAGAGTTACTAAATCAAATCACAGCAGATCTCAATGAATTGCGCAATACTAACAATAATGAACTAACTTATTACTATATTACTGGTAATCCTGGCAGTGGTAAATCTCAATTAGCCAGACAAACTTGCGAAGAAATGTATAACTCGTTTGACTGGGAAAAGAATACGACATTTGTGATGACACTCGAAGGAAATGATGCGGAATCCCTTTTAAAAACTTATGCTGAACTTTGTAAACGCTTTAACAATGATAAAACTGTCATTGAAAGTATTTTAAAGGAAGCAAAAAGCAGCAAAGAGAAAATTAAAGATTTTCAATTAATGCTGACACAACAACTGAAAGCTTGGCAAACATGGTGGATTGTTGTAGATAACGTGGTTGAACTTCATAAAATTTATCCATTATTACCTCAAGTTGGTGATCATAGCTGGAAAAATGGACAAATTATAGTAACTGTCCAAAATACAGATGCTATACCACCAGATGGAAATCTAAATAAACACATTTCAGTTAGTCATGGTATGAACAATGAAGAATGTCGACAACTTCTATCTGTCTTTTCTGATATTCATAATAAAGATGAAAAATTTTAAAGGATTTATCAGACAAATTAGATCGTCAACCGTTGTTCCTGGCAAATGCTGCTTCCTACGTAGGTAGAGTAAAAGTGTAAATCCGACATTCACGTGGGAGCAATATTTTGATAAGTTGAATGAAGGAGAGCGACAGAACATGGATGGCAATTTTCAAAAATAAACTCATCTTACTTAGGAATGAAAACTGTTATGTTAGCAGTACAAAAAATGCCGAAGAATCCATCTTGTTGGAACATGTTTTAAACTTTTCTCAACAATATCTTTCGTTCCCTTACCACAAGATGTTATAATAGCATTTATTAAAAGCATTGATCCACAAATATCTGCAGAAGATGTCTGTCTTCAATTAAAGCATTGCTCTTTATTCCTTCGAACAGAAAACAACGACATCCGCCTGCATAGCGTTGTACACGAAGCCATCATAAATTATTCATCGCAGAACTTTGGCTGTAAACAAAACGAAAATAATTCTAAAAAGTCTGCAACTGATCTAGTCAGTCAAGTTGCTTGGGCACTAAATCATTTTGAAGACAGAGAAGATGAAATCAAAATAATTCCACATCTAATTAAATTCATAGCAAATTCATCATTTCAACATTTCCTAAATAATTTGATCGATGTAAAGTCATTAAAAGAAAAACTTGATGAAAGAAATTGGAAATTTGCCAAATATTTTGTAGATGTTTTGAAAAGATTTTGCAACTATAAACTTGCAACTAAAGTACTTTATGAAATAACAGAAATTCAAACTAAAGTGTTAGGTGTTGATCATATTGATGTTTCATATTCGTACAACGAGCTGGGTTTATTGCTTTGGAAGAATGGAGAATATGAAAAAGCTAAAGATTTTTATGAACAAGCGATAGAAACTCAAACGAAAACATTTGGACCTGACCATGTTAATATTGCGAGAACGTACAACAATCTGGGTTCGGTTTACAAAGATATGGGAGAGTACGAAAAAGCAAAAGATTTTTATGAACGAGCGGTAGAAATTGAAACAAAAGCATTTGGACCTGACCATGTTAATATTGCGATAAGTTACAACAATCTGGGTTCGGTTTACGATGATATGGGAGAGTACGAAAAAGCAAAAGATTTTTTTGAACGAGCGATAGAAATTGAAACGAAAACATTTGGACCTGACCATGTTAATATTGCGACAACGTACAACAATCTGGGTTCGGTTTACAAAGATATGGGAGAGTACGAAAAAGCAAAAGATTTTTATGAACGAGCGATAGAAATTGAAACAAAAGCATTTGGACCTGACCATGTTAATATTGCGACAACGTACAACAATCTGGGTTCGGTTTACGATGATATGGGAGAGTACGAAAAGCAAAAGATTTTTATGAACGAGCGATAGAAATTGAAACGAAAACATTTGGACCTGACCATGTTAATATTGCGTCAACGTACAACAATCTGGGTTTGGTTTACAATGATATGGGAGAGTACGAAAAAGCAAATAGATTTTATGAACGAGCGATAGAAATTCAAACGAAAACATTTGGACCTGACCATGTTAATATTGCGACAACGTACAACAATCTGGGTTTGGTTTACAATGATATGGGAGAGTACGAAAAAGCAAAAGATTTTTATGAACGAGCGATAGAAATTCAAACGAAAACATTTGGACCTGACCATGTTAATATTGCGACAACGTACAACAATCTGGGTTCGGTTTACAATAATATGGGAGAGTACGAAAAAGCAAAAGATTTTTATGAACGAGCGATAGAAATTCAAACGAAAACATTTGGACCTGACCATGTTAATATTGCGACAACGTACAACAATCTGGGTTCGGTTTACAATGATATGGGAGAGTACGAAAAAGCAAAAGATTTTTATGAACGAGCGATAGAAATTCAAACGAAAACATTTGGCCCTGACCATGTTAATATTGCGTCAACGTACAACAATCTGGGTTTGGTTTACAGTAAAATGGGAGAGTACGAAAAAGCAAAAACTTTTTATGAACGAGCGATGAAAATTGAAACAAAAGCATTTGGACCTAAACATGTACTGCAATAATATACAACAATCTTCATTTGGTTATAAACAAACTATAGATATTGAAACTGAAGCATTTGGACTTCTATTTATATTTTATTTGCAAGAAGCTAAAATACTCCTGTCTTTGAGAAAACGTTGAAGGAGATAGAAGAAGAGGAAATGAATTTGTAGCACATTTTCAATGAAGAAGAAAATCAATTTCTGTTTTCATTTTAGGTATGTCTTCTTTATACTAAAGCTGATTAGAAACAGTTGTATTGTAGATTTCTTTTAACAAAGGTTCAAATAACAACAGTTGTATATTTATAAAAGGTATAAATTTATTATTGACAATATTCAAACATTTGTATTTTCAAGTTTTCAACTGTCATTTATTTACTGGAACAGTTTTTATTAAGAAACTTGTATGGAACTATCAAAGTATATTTATGAGTTTAGTTTGCAATATCTAGCTATTCAGAAGTTGTGAAGTTCCTTAAAATGAATGTTGTTGGGTCATTTTCTTGTATAATGAGAGTAAATACTGATCTTACAGCAACCATGATCATGTAACATCCCTTTTTGAAATGCTGAAAAGCCCACAAGATTTGCTTTGCTATATAAGTATGAATACAGTCTTTTCTATATTTATTTCTATTCATTCATATAATTTACAAAATATACTTTCTATTTATGAGAATTGTAGTTGTTTAAAATGGACATGCAGTTATTGTTATTTGATTCAATAATACTTGATTTGGGGACTAACACCTTAATTGTTGTGACAATGTTTGTTTTTTTCCACTTTGGAGGAAATATTTATTTAATGATTGATTCAATAATACTTTTTTATAGTTCAAACTATAAAGGCAATGTAAAGTAAAAGTTATAAATAACCATAAAAAGAAAAAGCAGGATATCATTGCCATAACATTGACAGAAGTAAAAATGACACATTTAACTGTCCGAATACCAGATTTTAGACTACCAGATTTACTAATATATAAAAAATCCCAGCAGTGATACAGGATACTTGTTGAGGGGGGGGGGGGCACAAATTCATATATGCATGTCTTAATCCGTTGAAAACAATGGATTTCAAAGGAACTTAATGTGGCAGAACATGAATATATGAATATATGCCACCTACCCAAAATAAAGAGTCTGCTATGCCATTTATTCCCAGGGCATCTTGAAGAGCTCTGGCATTGTGTGTAACAGTTAGCATTTCATTTTGCAAGGAACTTCTTATTTTTTTTCCAAAACATAATTTGAACATTAGAGAAATTCTGTACAAACTATAAAAGTTTATATTAGGAATATATTTCTAGGGCAACACCCTCCTTTAAAGTATGTATCCATGTTCAGGAGTGAATGACATGACCAGACATTTTTGGCTAATGTCTTTACAACTGATAAGAACAGTAAATGAGTCATTTCTACTGGTGTCTTTACTACTGATATGGACAGTAATGAGTCATTTTCATTGCTATGACATTCATGTCTTGCTTTTGCTATAGTTTATACTTTACATTGCTTTGAAACTGATTCTCCCAGCTACATAAATGATTTCGTAGCCTTGATGTGAGTATGGACCGCCACAATAATAACATTTTCGCGTCGATTCAGATTGGATGGTGGCCAACATGTCGTTATTTTTGTCCTTTGACTCGATATCCCGTGCTTGATAAGTGCTTTGCTCATCTCTACGGCCGTCCAGCAAAATATCCCTGAGTTTATACTCGGGATCTCTTGTGCTTTCTTTCGTATCCGCGAAGAAGATACCGCCATGATTATCTGTTGTTCCACCTCAAAGTCAACATCATCAAAAGCACATGTTTGAGCTAATTTTCTCAATCGCGTATGAAATTGGTCTAACGTTTCTGATTGTTCTTGTTTGGCTTCGCGAAGTTTGTACACTTCATATCGCCGATTTTTTTGAGGCTCAAAATATTCCGTTAATTTGGTTTTAGCAAGTTCATATTCGCTGTCGTCGCCTGTATCGTTGAGCTGTCGAAATATTTCACGAATGTGTGAACCATCTTGACAGAGAAGTAATGCTCGTTGTTGCTTTTTATCTTTAATTCCACTCAAGATAATAAACATTTCAAAATCGGCAAGCCATGTGCTCCATCGAGTTGCCAAGCTTACACCAAGTATTTATTTAACAAAAACTTTTTTTAAACACCTTTATTATCCAGCGTACGTACGTTGGGCGGCTATTAACCACGTATATATAACATCAATTTTCATCATATACTGCATTGTATAACTACCAAAAAATTACATATGACTGTTCAACAAGTATTTATTTAACAAAAAGTTTTTTCCAGCGTACGTACGTTGGGCGGCTATTACACATGATTTCTTAACAACTCTTCAAGTACCCTTTACGTAAATTGATTTTATAATTAAAGGATTTTCAAGATCTTAAAGTGCCTGCAAAACCCCGTTATACATCATCGCTGGTGCTTTCATAGTCGTCTTCACTTGTTTGATCGTCTTCAGAATCCACTTCTTCATATACAACCACTTCTTCCTTGTCATCCAGAGCCGACATCAGATCACTTTGAAGCATGTCAACATTCCCATGAAAAAAATACTGTGGTTCGTCTTTGTTGATGTAAAAAGAAAACCTTTTTTTTAGATCTATCAATATGCTTTCAATTTGAAAGATCTTCCTGTGTAAAAATATCGCTTCACTGTATTCAACATCAAGTACGCTTTCATGAAAACTATTCAAAAAGTGAGTAATCTTGCCTTGCTGCTGAAAGAAGTGACCCCACGTATTTTCTATTTCTGACTTCAACAGGATTTGCTCTTCCTTGGATCGGTCAAGCAAATGGCATAAATCTATAGCCTTCCGTTTAACAGTAAATGGAACTGAACAATCTTCATCAGTAGGTGCAGGTAGATATTCACATCAAAAATCATTGTCAGGATCTTTGACAGCATCTAATGTTAATGCAGTATGTGTATGATTAGAATGTGATTGTTTCGCCTCGTTATAAGCTGCGATATCTTTATTGACATCCTTTGTTACTCGAGTAATTTGCTTCGAAAGTCTGGATGGCAACGCTTGACCATCTGAAAAACAGAACAAACATACAGAAACATTTACAAACATACAGAGAACATTACAAAGCAGGCAACATGTAAAGTAATTTACAAACATTGCAAGTGGTATGGAACATTTATGAGATACGTATAGTTACCACAGTATTTAGAGTTAAGATTTAGGAGAAACCATCTTTCAACAACATTTTTCCTCATTTGTGACAAAACACGTTTTTCTTTCCTTGACGCAACCTCGCGTTTTGCATTTTCGTACTCTGAGTCATAGTCCAGGCGGTGAGTGAGGTAGGTATCACCTGAGCGGGTAATTTACGGGAGTAGGACTATCTAGACCAGTTTTTGGCGTAGAACACGAATCCGCATGTTATTCAGTCCGACAAGGCTGCTTTTTAGAGTTATTTCCAGATATTGCGCAATTCAGCCTCATTTTCATGCAAAATCAAACGTTTTTAAGATTTAGCTATTATTATTAATAAAAACACAGACGTGATACCTACCTATTAATAATAATAACACTGTGCAACACTCAAAAAAGTACAGAAAATCTGTGGTCATTTTTATATGCACAATAATATGAGAAATTCATGTCTGGCCTTCTTTTTGTTGAATTAGGCATAGATTTTTCAAAATTTGTTAGGGAGAGGAGGGTGAGTAGACAAAGCATGACAACACATCAGCCATATTTGTTTTCACTTGCGATGTATATGTTGTTTGGTTTTAATCTGTTTTATTTAATGATATTATGGCTCTTTTCATATGCTTTAGTACGTTTATTTCAGTAATGGCGTCAAAAATGGGATACTGACGACTCTGCAGTCCATAAAGTCTATTAAAATGCTTTTATTTTATTAAATTTTTGATTTTTAAACACGTAGGTAGTTTAATTAAAAAAATTTAGTCTGTGAAAATATATAGTAAATGATGTTCTGCACTTTTCATTTTTTTAAATTCAATATAAGTCAGAAAAATGTAAAATATTAATTGTCAAGGTTTTTTTTAATTTTTTATAGCTCAGAACCTTATTTGATAATTGTCTTTATTCTTTAGATTTTGGCTTTGCCGATGACTTCAAGACAGTGCAAAAATGATCCAAGCAAATTCTGCTACATATGTGGCGAATTAACATTTGCTAAAGAAAGGCGCAGCATTACCAGCAATATCAAGAAATTGTGCAAGGCGTACTTTCATTGTGATATGGGAGACCAAGACAAGCCATGGGCTCCTCATGCCTGTTGCCTTACATGTGAGCGCATGGTATGCAAAAAAGAATGTTCACATGAAGTTTGGTGTGCCAATGATTTGGCGAGAGCAGAAAGATCATTCTAATGATTGCTATTTTTGTCAGCAAGATTATACGGGCTGTACAACAGCGAAAAAAAAGAAACACATTGTTTACCCAAATTTGCAATCAGCAATACGCCCAGTTGAGCACTCAAAAGAATTACCTGTACCAAAACCCCCTGATCAGGAAATGTGGAGTTCAAGCAGTGGGGATGAACATTACAGTGATGAATCAATAGAATTTTCTAATTCAGAAAGCAATAATAAACCAATACTATTTTCTCAAGACGCTCTAAATGACTTATGCAGAGATCTTTATTTAACCAAAGACAAAAGTGAACTTCTTGCATCAAGGCTTAAAGAACGAAATCTTCTTAGAAAAGGTGTGAAAATAACATTATACAGAAAACGTGCACAAAACTTGCATTTTTTGTTCACTTTGAAAGATGATTTATGTTTCTGCAATGACATTATTGAACTTTTTGAACAACTGGAAATACCATATGATAACACCAACTGGCGACTTTTCTTAGATGCATCCAAGGAAAGTATAAAAGCTGTTTTGCTTCACAATGGGAACACCCTGCCACCTGTTCCTATAGCTTACAGCACAACCATGAAAGAATCATATGAAAATTTAAAAACTATTTTAACAAGCATAAAGTATGAAGTCCATAAATGGCATGTTTGTGCAGATTTCAAGGTTATAGCCATGCTCACTGGCCTTCAGCCAGGCTATACTAAATTTTGTTGCTTCTTGTGCTTGTGGGACTCTAGAGCAAGAGCTGAACACTATGTACGCAAACACTGGCCCGCTAGAGATGAAATTGAGCAGGGAAAACATAACATCAAACACAAACCACTTCTGCAAAGTGATAGAATCCATTTACCACCTTTGCATATTAAGCTCGGTTTGTTCAAGCAGTTTGTGAAAGCACTAGACAAGGATTCCTTGGCATTTGCATATCTTGCAGAAAAGTTTCCTTCATTAAGTCAAGCTAAAATAAAAGAAGGTATCTTCGTAGGTCCCCAAATTCGAAAAATTGTTCTTGATGAAATTTTTGACACACATCTCACGAGAAAAGAAAATGTGCCTTTGAGTCATTCAAGAAAGTTTGTGATAACTTCCTGGGAAAACATCGTTCAGAAGACTATGTGCAAGTTGTGAATGATCTACTGCGTCATTTTCATGATATGGGATGTAACATGTCTCTAAAAGTTCATGTGCTCCACTCTCATTTGGATTTTTTTGCTGAGAATCTTGGCCATGTGAGTGATGAACATGGCGAAAGGTTCCATCAAGATATTTCATTAATAGAAGAACGTTTTAAAGGAAAATGGAACACTGGTATGTTGGCAGACTACTGCTGGAATTTAAAAAAGGATGATGACATTCTACACAAGAGAGTTAAGAGGACAAATGTTGTTTAAACTGGTGATTTCGTTGTTTTATATATATATGTGTTTTTTTAATAGATAATATTACAGTACATGAAAATGGCACCTAATCCAGAGAAATAAATGTCAGATTTGGAATCAGCATACTTTTCTTACACCGAAACAGGTCTTATATGTCTTGTACTTTTTTTTCACTTCAATTTTGTTGCACAGTGTTATAGATTAGCCAATCAAAGATTTTATAAGCAAACCCTTATACCAAGTCATCGTAATCACCTTTTTGGGATTAGATGGGATTTAGAAATTTTCCAAGGGTGAGCATGACTTTATAGACCTCGCTAGAAAGGCTCACGCGTTTGGCGTTAGAAAATATGCTACCCAGAAGTTCATGTCTTTCTTCATGTCTAACTACGACATTGCATGTAAAGGATTTCCGCTTTCGTCGAGCAAAATAGTGTCCGCATCCTGATGTTTTTGGTCCTGTACAGCCATGTCAATACTGAAAATTAATAATAGTTAAATGTGTACAACATTTATGAGTTGATTGAGTTGAACTGAATTTGAATTTGCAATAAAATTTCTAAATCAATCCCTGTCGTATATATTTCAATTATAGCAAAAACATAAAATTTGCTCTTCTCATTTTATCGTCTCGCTGTTATGAACAGAATTCAATATTTTACAATAAAAACAGCAGGTGATTAAAATCAAGCATTTATTGAGCATTCCAATTTATTTATTATCAAGCAGAAGCAAAGATATCATGTAGATGGTTGCGTCTCCCTTAATGTTTCTAAATTTGTTAAGGTATGTTGATTATAAAGTTCACCTATCATAGTGCCATAGTTTGTTCTTATGTCTAAAATTTTGTTATATTTGTCATAAAAAACCTGAATGTCATTTTTGTGGTGGAATTCGCACTTCATATGTTTTATATTGATACGTCTGTTGATTTTGGTTGGATTTTCCCAATAGCACATTGGATAATTTATCATTTCAAAATACTGTCCTTTCTTGTATTATCACTAAAAATTAATTTCATTAGTCTTTTCAAATATCATTGGTACGGCAGGGCTAAAAAATCAACAAGATGAATCAAAATTATGACACGTCACAGAACTATAGTTATGCATATCATAAATGCGGAATAATTTTAATTTTATCTAACATTGCTTTATCAAGAATTTTTTCCTCATTCAAATAGTCATCTATCTATTTATTTTATTTCTAACACAGATGATGACATAAAAACGTTTTGCTAGGCATGATTTTAGAAATTGCGCCTAATTGGAGTAAAAAGCTCACATCTTCACGTGATAGTACACGTGATTTTATTCTGGTCTATATTTGTTCAACTTGTTGTAAGATAGACTATTTAAAATATTTGTTTTCGTCAAAAGTTCACAAAATGACAAAACTTTGCATGACGAACTGTTAAGTCCAAACGCTATCAGTTTTGAAGTATCTCTGATTATTTTGATGTGAGAGAATTAACCGTCTTATCTAGTATAATTCGTCAAAAATAATTATTGGAAAAGTTGTTGTTTATAATCTTAATTTTTTTGAGCTATCTTATTGGTAAAAATGGTACTATATATTTTGCCTCGCTGCCTCAACTTTGCGTTTGTTAATAGTTTAGTTTTCCAGAGCATTTCATTAATTCAAATAATTATATGTAAACTGTGTATAAGGTTTATGAAATTTAACTGAAACATAATTTGTTGTAAAATTTATAAATCATCCCTTCTTCGTGTATTCTCATCAGTCAGAGCTAAAATATAAAATTTGCCCATCTCATTTTATCGTCTCACTGTTATGAACAGAACTCAATATTTTACAATAAAAACAGCAGGTGATTAAAATCAAGCACTTATTGAACATTCCGATTTCTTTATTATCAAGCAAAAACAAGGACATCATGTAGATGGTTGCGTCGTCTTTAATCTTTCAAAAATTTTTAAGATATGTTGATTATAAAGGTCACCTGTCATAGTGTAATTGTTTGTTCTTATGTCTAGAATTTTGTTATATTTGTCATAAAAAACCTGAATGTCATTTTCGTGGTGGAATTCACGCTTCATATGTTTTATATTGATACATCTGTTGATTTTGGTTGGATTTTCCCAATAGCACATTGGATAATTTATCATTTCAAAATACTGACCTTTCTTGTATTATCACCAACAATTAATTTCAATAGTCTTTTCAAATATCATTGGTACGGCAGGGCTAAAAAATCGACAAGATGAATCAAAATTATGACACGTCACAGAATTTCAGTTATGCATATCATAAATGCGGAATAATTTTAATTTTATCTAACATTGCTTTATCAAGAATTTTCTCCTCATTCAAATAGTCATCTATCTATTTATTTTATTTCTAACACAGATGATGACATAAAAACGTTTTGCTAGGCATGATTTTAGAAATTGCGCCTAATTGGAGTAAAAAGCTCACATCTTCACGTGATAGTACACGTGATTTTATTCTGGTCTATATTTGTTCAACTTGTTGTAAGATAGACTATTTAAAATATTTGTTTTCGTCAAAAGTTCACAAAATGACAAAACTTTGCATGACGAACTGTTAAGTCCAAACGCTATCAGTTTTGAAGTATCTCTGATTATTGAGATGTGAGAAAATTAACCGTCTTATCTAGTATAATTCGTCAAAAATAATTATTGGAAAAGTTGTTGTTTATAATCTTAATTTTTTAGCTATCTTATTGGTAAAATGGTATTATATATTTTGCCTCGCTGCCTCAACTTTGCGTTTGTTAATAGTTTAGTTTTCCAGAGCATTTCATTAATTCAAATAATTATATGTAAACTGTGTATAAGGTTTATGAAATTTAACTGAAACATAATTTGTTGTAAAATTTATAAATCATCCCTTCTTCGTGTATTCTCATCAGTCAGAGCTAAAATATAAAATTTGCCCATCTCATTTTATCGTCTCACTGTTATGAACAGAGTTCAATATTTTACAATAAAACAGCAGGTGATTAAAATCAAGCATTTATTGAGCATTCCAATTTCTTTATTATCAAGCAGAAGCAAAGACATCATGTAGATGGTTGCGTCTCCTTAATCTTTCTAAATTTTTAAGGTATGTTGATTATAAAGTTCACATATCATAGTGCCATTGTTTGTTCTTATGTCTAGAATTTTGTTTATTTGTCATAAAAAAAATGTCATTTTCGTGGTGGAATTCGCACTTCACATGTTTTATATTGATACATCTGTTGATTTTGGTTGGATTTTCCCAATAACACATTGGATAATTTATCATTTCAAAATACTGACCTTTCTTGCATTATCACCAACAATTAATTTCAATAGTCTTTTCAAATATCATTGGTACGGCAAAGCTAAAAATCAACAAGATTAATCAAAATTATGACACGTCACAGAATTTCAGTTTTGCATATCATAAATGCGGAATGATTTTAACTTTATCTAACATGGCTTTTATCAAGAAGAATTTTTCCTCGTTCAAATAGTCATCTATCTATTTATCTTATTTGTAACACAGATGATGACTTAAAACGTTTTGCTAGGTATGTCTTTAAAAATTGCGCCTAATTGGAGTGAAAAGATCATCTTCACGTGATAGTACACGTGATTTTTTTCTGGTCTATATTTGTTCAACTTGTTGTAAGATAGACTATTTAAAATATTTGTGTGCGTCAAAGGTTCACAAAATGACAAAACTTTGCATGATGAAGTGTCAAGACCAAAAGCTATCAGTTTTGTAGTATCTATGATTACTGAGATGTGACAAAATTATTCTAAACTAGAGACTTCGAGATTAATTACTCTGACATTTCCTTCTTAAATAAAGATTGCCCCTAAAAATCTTGAGCCCCCCAATATTTACTTGCTTCTCACGCCCGTGATCAAATTATTTGTTTATCCGTATCAAAAGTTTACAAAATGACAAAACTTCGTTGACCACGTTTCAAAGTTGGAACGTCAGGATGTTCAATAATTGAAATAAATAATAGTAAACTGTGAAAGGTTTATTGGCATAAAGCTTCCAAGTCAAAACTTTTTTGTGTTTACGTCAGTCATAGCTAAAATAAAAATTTGCATTTCATATTTTATTGGGTATGAACAGAATTCAATATTTTGCAATAAAAACAGCAGGTGATTAAAATCAAGTATTTATTGAACATTTTAATGATGTAGCAAATTTCTTCTTTGCACGTTAGCACAAAGCAGTTATGCGTCCGCCGGTTCTCTATGGGACTGTATACTATCTAAAGCTAGCGCGCAGTCAAACACAATTCTCAAAATATCATCAATTTAATTTTCTGATGATGATGATTTTGGACTCTCCTGTCGGGGCGACAGATGAGTAGGCATGCAGGTCAATCTGCGAGAGTGGGACCTCATGTGTGAATGGAGGCCAATTTGTGATGCCCACGAACGTCCGCAAACGCTGCAGGGGTACGAGACAAGAATGGCAGAGCGTTACTTCCTTCGGGCCCTCTTCTCCTTGATGGCGGCTGCTCTACCGGCTTCGAAGTTCCGAACGCCCTGGGAGCATAGATGCCTCCACTGCAGTCTGTCTCCCGCGAACTTCTCCCAGGTGTTTGAGTCTATGTTGCAGCTCTTGATGTTGGCTTTAAGGGTGTCTTTGTATCTCTTCAGCGGTCTTCCTTGGACACGGCTCCCGTCTTGTAGTTGACCATACAGCAGCATCTTTGGGATTCTGCTGTCATCCATCCTTACGACATGGCCTGTCCATCGGAGTTGAGCTTTAATGATCAAGCTCTCAATGCTGGGGAGTCCACACCTTTCAAGGACTTCAAGGTTGGACACTTTCTCCTGCCATTTGATGCAAAGGATTTTTCTCAGGCAGCGCTGGTGGAACTGTTACAGCTGTTGTATGTGCCTGCGATAAGTGGTCCAGGTTTCACAGCAATACAGCAGAACACTCAGGACCACAGCCCTGTACACAGCAATTTTGGTGACGATCTTGATGCCGTGTTCCTGCCAGAGTCTTCTCTTTAGTCTGCCAAAAGCAGCACTGGCCTTTGCAATACGCAGCGTTACCTCTGCGTCCAGGGAACCATTGTTGCTGGTGGTGCTGCCAAGGTAGCAGAACTTGTCAACAGTCTTGATGTTGGTGTGGTTAATGATGACAGGAGGTGGTGGTGAGGTGTCACGAATCTGGGATGGTTGAAGCTGGACCAGGATCTCAGTCTTGCCCAGGCTGATGGTCAGCTCAAAGCGATCACATGCAGTTTCGAAGCGGTCTGTTATGCACGGGATGTCTTCATGGGAGTGGGCGGCTAGTGCACAGTCATCTGCGAAGAGAATTTCACGCAGGAGTGCCTCGTAGACTTTGGTCTTAGCCTGAAGTCTTCTGAGGTTGAAGAGCATTCCATCAGTACGGAACTAAATGTACACCCCTTTGTCGAAGTCACGGAAGGCGTCGAGCAGCATCGCTGCGAGCAGGATGGAGAAGAGAGTGGGGGAAGAACACAACCTTGCTTCACATCGTTCTTCACAGGAAATGGGTCCGATGTCTCCCCACTTTCCTGGACTCTTGCCTGCATGCCATGGTGAAAGGAGGCTAATAGAGAGACTGGCTTCTTTGGACACCAAATTTTCCCAGGATCCTCCAAAGGCCTTCCCGATTAACGGTGTCGATGCCTTAGTTAGGTCTACGAAGACCATGTGAAGTTCCTTGTTTTGCTCGCGACACTTTTCCTGCAACTGCCTAATAGCGAAAACCATGTCAGTAGTTCCCATGCCTGTTGAGGACGACTTGGGCCAAAACCTTGCCTGCGATGCAGAGGAGGGATATGCCTCGATGGTTGTCACATGACGTCTTATCGCCTTTCCTCTTATAGATGTGCACGACGGCAGCATCTTTGAAGTCCTGGGGGGCCTTGGTAACTTTCCAAACCTCCTGGAACAGGGATGCCAGTTTGTCCAGGAGTGCCTGGCCTCCGTTCTTGTAGACGTCAGCTGGAATGCCATCAGCCCCAGGAGCCTTTCCAGACCTTGTCTGCTTGAGGGCTTTTGCAACCTCGTCTCTGGTGGGTGGGTCGGCAATTTCCTCTTTGATGCGTGTGATGTGCACGTCTCTGCGGTCCCTCTGGCGGACGATGACGTACTCCAGCATGTGCCACTGTTTGGAGCGAGGGTGCATCCATGTGTTCTTCAGCTTGTCAGCTTGTTGAAAGAGAGTGTTAGTAATGGTTAGCTCATGCTGTGCGCACAGAGATAGTAGCATCAGGCCATTGTAGTTGCACTTGCCAGTTCCATGGCGACCCAGGATGTTTGGCCAGATGGTGTAGTCTACTCCAACTCGTGCGTTTAAGGCTCCAAGGATGATGAGTTTGTCTCTGCGGTCAACACTGGAGAGTAGCTGGTTGAGCTCTTCGTAGAAGGCTTCCTTCACTTGATCTGGGTTTGTCATTGTAGGGGCGTAGGCGCTGACAATTGTTGCGTTGCAGCCTTTCTGGAGTTTCAGCCGCAGGGTCATGAGGCGATCGCTGATGCCCTGTGGCAAGCTGACTAGTCGTCTTGCGAGCTGAGTGCGTATGGCAAATCCCACGCCTGAGTGTCTTGGGGCGTTGACCGGTTTCCCAATGCAGTAGAAGGTGTAGCCACCACCGACCTCTTCCAGTTGAGTTTCATCTGCAAGTCTGGTCTCACTCAAAGCGGCTATGTCCACCTGGTATTGTCCAAGCAACCTTGCTATTAGAGCAGTGCGTCGCTCTGGTCTGTCTCCTCTGTCCAACAGCGTTCTCACGTTCCATGCCCCAATGTTTAAGCGCTTTCTTGTTTTGTTATCCTTAGTTGTACGACCGCTTAGTTGGATGCCCAGGCTGGTGCGGTTCCTGCCAGGTGCAAGTAGGGCAGGCTTTGTTTAGGGATCCTTTTATCTCCCCTTCCCCATGTGGGGAGAGCAGTGCTAACCCTAAAGAGGGCTGCTTTGTCACTGCGAGAGGATACGGGCGCCGTATCTGCCCTAGGTTTATGGCGGACGACCATCAATTCGCAGCCGCCTGCGTGCAGAGTCATGGCTAAGAACTTCCAGCAGCATCCTCTGCCTGTTCCCGTCACCATTTCTCCATCGCCACAGGACTTGAGATAGCTGGCGCAAAAAAGGGATGGTTGCATCACTTGATTCCGGCAAACCTGCTTGCCTGACCAGCACAGGTGAATGTTTTAGGTGAAGAGGGGATGTGCATGCCCGTCCATTTAATTTTCTAGTCAAAGTTATACATCAATTCCAATTCATGCTCCTTACTCGTTCACAAGCATCAACAAAAGACAATGCCGTCTTAATTTGACCCTTCTAAAATACTCAATAATCATAAGCTCCTTTTTCCGCTTTATCGATAAGTTCCTAGTTTTAAATAACAATCATAATTTATTTACATAATTTCCGACACACTCTCCCCTTTGAGCCTTTAGGGTCAAACATAACTTTTTTCACCAACATGATCTACAGCTGCAGCCCTTCTGGGTCTCCTGTTACTTCCTCCCATGCTTTCCTTTTCTCTATGTTCTAATTTCTCACTACCTTGCTCTCCGTACCCTTACATCTACCCGTATTCATGTACCCTTACATCTATCTAAGTGCATACAATTTTTGCAGAGGCCTACTTATATACTGAGGCCTTCCTTTACTGACAACTCTGACTTCTGCTCCTCTGACTATATCATCCTTTCCTACGACTAATCTCTCAATTCTCGCTGTTTTCCAAAACCCTCTTTTTAAACCTTCGTCAAAAACAAGAACTACATCACCTCTTTTTCGACAAAATCTACCCTTCACTTTTCCGACCTTATGGTATTCTCTTAAATTTTTTAAGTACTCCTTCCTCCCCCTTGACCAAAAATGTGACTTCAATTTCGCTAAATATCTAAACCTACGTTTTATCTCTCCTTCATCTTCATCCCTAATAGCGTTTTGAACTTCCTCGTCTGGAATAGATGCAAATCGTCTTCCAAACATGAGATAGGAAGGAGTCAGTACATCCACATTTACTTCATCATCGTACACATACGTCAATGGTCTGGAGTTTAACGTACCTTCTACCTCAACTAATGTCGTCTACAGTTTTTCCCTATTCAATTTAGCATTACCCAATATCTTCCTCAGACAACCTTTCACCAACGCTACCATTCTTTCAAAAAACTCCACCCCACCAAGATGTCCTTGCCAAATTAAATTTCGACACCAACCTATTAACTTCCAAAATGATTTCACCTCCTTGCTATCATAAATCCCTTCAATGCTTTCTCAGTTGCTTTAAACGTCTTGGCATTGTCCGAAACCATTAGCGAAGGTGTTCCCTTCTAGCGGTGAACCT